TAATAGGACGAAACGGCCCTCCAGTGCCTACAGGTTTTCCATGGCTGTCTAGCTTCAATTGACTCATGATTTCAGTTACCTAATAATTATGTTTTTCCTTAGTTTGATGGATACAATTGCAATATAATTGTTAGTAGTTTAAGATTAACTAAGGATTATAATCTATACAGATCTTTTGTAGATGTTTAAGACATTAAAGACGGACTAAGATGAAAAACCATTTAGTGCTTTGTGATTTTATTATTTTGCCAGCTCTGTGATAATATATTCAGATGAAGTCAATCTCCTATATAAGTAATAAACGAATGTTGTCTCATAACTAACTTCCAAACCGATAAATTGATGATTATAGAAAAAAATGTTCTGACATTTTAAACCTATCAATTCTAACCTGATGAAGTTATACAGTCATGAAATTGAATAATTGAGTTATCTTTAGTCAATTTAGCTGAAAATAAGAAAAGTGAAGTGTTGGATTTCAATACAATTGTATTTTCATAGTTGAAAGCATGAGTCAATTGAAGCTAAACCACCAAGGAAAACCTGGCATCACTGGACGGCCGTTTCGTCCTATTGTGGGACTCCAGTGCTTTTAGGTTTTCCTTAGCGGCGTAGCTTCAATTGACTCATGCTTTCAATTATGAAAATACTAAAAATCTCCACAAAACCCCTTCTGACAATTGTATTTCTTAGAAAGTTTAAAAGATCATGCGTCTGATGCTGTTTAGAATAGTCAACGTTGTCATATACAAAAGTAAGACAAAAGAGCTAATTAATTTAGTTAAACGTTATGGGCATAACTGCTCAATTCAATATATTATGGATCATTAAAACTGTACACTTATATATATAGACTGTTAGTCAAACTTTATTCTGAATCAAATATATCCGGAGATTAGGACAAAAGATAAAAGATTTAGTCTTAACAGTTGAAAATAAACATTCTCATCCGTTTTAATCACTACGATGTGTGTTTTTAAATTAACACATTATACTCATAAGAACATAACATTGTTTGTTTTTCTTTTTCCATGATGTACATAACAATCTTTGACTTTTCATCTTTTGTTTTAATCATTACACCTTAATAAAATAAGGATGAATATATAAGACAACTAGTGAAACATCTGTATCAAAGCATTTTGTTTTAAGTTTATATTTTCCTGTTTATGTTTACTGACAATATCGAATTCAAATAGTTATAAGTGTTTCAATCTATAAAGAAAAATCAGTTCAACAATAATTTTAAAAAAAATCTGTATTATTACTGATGATGATGATGATGATGATGATGATGATGATGATGATGATGATGATGATGATGATGATGATGATGATGATGATGATGATGATGATGATGATGATGATGATGATGATGATGATGATGATGATGATGATGATGATGATGATGATGATGATGATGATGATGATGATGATGATGATGATGATGATGATGATGATGATGATGATGATGATGATGATGATGATGATGATGATGATGATGATGATGATGATGATGATGATGATGATGATGATGATGATGATGATGATGATGATGATGATGATGATGAGCATAATCATAGAATTATAACAGTAATTATTTCAAAGATTAAAACAAAAATCTATACAAGAAAATGTTATTCAAATGGCGGATAACTAAAAAAATAGAGTTAATAACAACAAATGGATAATAAATTTATTTATACTGGTTATTTAAATCTTTCCGCTGATGCTATGGACTGCAGTTGTACAGTCTCTTTTGTCATATACGCATCTTGCAAGGATCATATCGACAACTCTACTAAGTCAATAGCATACAACACGTTGTATAAGCCAGGAGCTATTTTGACTCGGTAACTATGAAGAAAACATAATGGACGTTTGAAGCATAGATAGTATGTTCGAGTTCCTGTGCGGATATTAACACAGGTACAGGTAGGATGAAACGCATGTTTTGGATTTCACTAATAGTAGCCAACATCCAGCTATGGTTAATTGAATATCAAAAACTCAAACTTAAAACAACTAAGGGTGATAATTCAAACTGAAAGAGTAAAATGTCGTTGCCTTTCATGTCACCTTCATAGAGACTTTTAAATTAGATCCTTAACAATGGAAAAGTCGTACCATTTGACCGCAAAAATATTTGAGTATATTAAGTTATTAAATGTGTCATCTAATAAGGTTCACATTCTCTTCATATACAGTGACTTGAGACTGTCCTTAACAATGATTGTTAATAAGGTGTATCTGTGATCCTAATGGGTAGGATAATATTTTGTCTCATCCTAATTCTAGTAGATCAGTGATGAAGACTTAGAGTAAAACGGGTTCATACCTCCTAGTAGTTTAACATTTAGGTTTACGTATCAGGTACATACCGTGTATGGATGCCAAATGGTACAAGTTTATGATCCATCACTTACATTTTATATATACACTCCGACATAATAGACAGAAATAGAACACAAAACGCTTGATAACATGACATTAGTTACTAATTAGTGTATAAATCAATATTTGGCAGCATATACAGTGTTATTATTAGTAGTAATGGCTTTATTCAATATTACATGTTCTGTTCAGTATGGTATTCTCAGAATGTATATTATTATTATTATCCTTGTCTCTTACCCTCAATTTCCAGTCTAGTTGACCTTTTGTTTTTATATATAAATGTTCTTAACAAGTTTATATGTGATCAGATTGGTCGTAATGTATTGTCTCAATATATCACATAGTTCTGATAATCTTCGTCTTCTTATTACACTATTGAAATTAATCAAAGGGACTAATTACTTTATCGGGATAGTATTTTTGCAAGAAAATAATGATGCAATATACATCTAACCTTATACATTAGGACAGAATAAGTTACATAGATCACTGACATTTTCAACTGTGTTACATTTTTTTTTAATATTACTATTATTGGAGCAGGCGATATAATTAAATTGTTCATAAATGAAAAACAACTATGTATATATGTGCCCGGTTCTATGTTGAATATGGTTAACTGGAAAGATAAGTCAACGATCGTGTGGTAAAAATATTAACGATGATAATAATAGCAATTATTTGAAGATGATAAGAGGTTTTTGACATAAGATTGGAATAAATCATCTGATAAAGTATCAGTAATTTCAATATTAGTGAACATGAGTCAGTTGAAGCTAGACCACCATGGAAAACCTGGAAACACTGGACGGCCGTTTTGTCCTATTATGGGACTACTCGGCAGAGCGCATTCATGATCCCGCACTCGCGAAATTCAAACCCAGGACCTACCAGTCTCGCGCCAGAGCACTTAACCGATAGACCACTGAGCTGGGAGGCATCCAACGGTCTTAATGTCTAACCTCAACCAATCCACGATGTTTGAGCAACCGTTCACCAATTGTCTTCAGTGAGTTGATATCTCTACAACAGTCTTGGTTGAACTCCATTGGTCACTGCTTCCCACTAGAACTCAAGGAAATATCCCTTGAAGTCAGTCACTAGTGAGCATATGTTGATTAATATCAGAAGGCGTTTTGTGGATATTATAGAAATTTCAATAGTTGAGATCAGGGAGCCTGGTTTCGACTCTCGCGAGGCGATATCGTGGGTGCATACTGCTGAGGAGTCTCATAATAGGACGAAACGACCGACCAGTGCTACCAGGTTTTCCATGGTGGTTTAGCTTCAATAGACTCATGATCTCAATTACTGACATTATCACAATATTCACAAAAACCCCTTCTGATATCAGAAATTTATTTGATATTTATTTTTTTGACTTGTCTTAGTTCTTACAATTAACATTCTCATTTAGTTAAAGAAAGGGATTCTTTTTCTCCAAAAAATACTAAACTTGTTAGACAAGAATGAAATACGATAAACGAAGATACGGTAAACGAAGATCTCAATACATTTCAGGTTGGAAATAAAATGTAATTTAGCTTTAAATAAATGTTGGTGAAATAATAACACAACACAATCTTCCTAACGTTCGGCATTTATGCTTTAACGGGAACAGCTTTTTTTAAAAAAAAAATAGCCTCACTTAATAATGAAAATATTAAATTCAACTTAGTATTGTTTGTTTGAATCTTCCCATCGATTTGTTAGGACTGCAACTGGTCAATCTCTATCTGCTCAATCTCCATCTCTGCTAACAATGAAAATATTAGTTTAACTCCAATTTGTTTCCGATAAAACGATAGATTCTACCGTCAGACTAACACAGTTTAGTTCCAAAGTCTGAACCTCTCCAGCATAATTAATTCAAATTAACAGAAATTAAAATGTTTCGGAATATGAGTATTTACTAATCGAGATTCAGAAGTTTCATAAAGTATTATTCATTGTTTATATTTAACAGATATGTGTTTTTCTTTCACCCCAAGGTGTAATACAGTTATAAACTGTAGGTGTCAATACCCAGGTTGGAATTGATAGTTTCAAATAAATTAAATATTGGGTAAAGAGTTAATAATAAATCAATTTTTGTTATACCCTCTTGAATAGAAAATCATATTTCTGACATTTCTCAACTTAATGTTAACCACTTCTTCAGAGTAGCTAAATAATACAGTTATAAACTGTTTATAATAGGATATACATTAAGGAAATCAACAAATTGCATCACGAGGTAATCCATAACTTGAAATTTGGAAGGGAAACGGAAAAATGGAAGGCCGAAGAACACATTACGCCGGGAAATAGAAGCAGATATGCAAAGGATGAGTAACAACTGGAAAGAACTAGAATAGATTGCCCAGGACAGGTTTGGATGCAAAATGCTGGCGTGGGGCCTATGCTCCTCCACGAGGGGTAACAGGCGTAAGCAAGTAAGTAAACCGTTTATAATCTGATTAGATAAATGAATCTATTTTATTTATATCAAATCTTTTAAAATAAGTCATGAAAATAAGTGAACAACTTTATTATCGGTAACACTTGATGGATAAATAATAGTACTGAATTGATAATAATAATAATAATGATAATTTACTTACCAAAATCAATAAACCATCCAATTAATAGGGTTATAATGAATATATGTAATTTATTTCCATGATTACATAAAATCCTTTTCCATGAATGATGATTACATAAACAAATAATTATGAATTGTTGTTTTAAAAAATTAATTGTTAACATGGTTACTAAGGACAAAAAATATGGTTTAATTGATATAATTGACAAATAAAATCTAAGAAAAAATTAGATGACAAAATATGTTTGATTTTTCGGTTGGAAATTTTTTCTATTTTTGTATTTTTTTTCAAAGTGAAAAAAATTGTTTTATTGATTAAATTTTTTTCGTTGAAAAGTGTTTGTTTTTTTTGTTGTTGTTTGTTTTACTGTGATTAGTTTCTTTTTAATTGATTTTTTTTTCAATATGCTTATTAAAACAAAATCATTTTTGAAATGTTTATAGATTTAATAAGAATACATCAATGGATCAATATTTTTTTGCGGATATTTGAATACTTGTTTTAAGAATCTAAAGTAATATGAATACAAAAAACAAAACAGTGATGATAAGCATGAAAACATTAAATTATCATGAGACAGTATGCATGTACAACCCTATAGAAGATATAATCCAGGGTACATAATGTTGAGATCGGGATACTATTAGATAATTGATTTATAGACCTAGAGCTCTATATCCATGATGTAAGTGAATTTATAAACATTCAGTAAATAAGACATCAAAATGTTTGATTATATTTCCTTGAAAAAGCTTGAACCAGATTGCCAGTCGAAACGTTGGATTTACTTCAAATTCATTCGCTGAGATTTTACAAATATATTATTCCTATTCAATGTGTTACATCAACTTGGCGCCCAAATACTGTGAAACTATTCGATATAATTTAGACGAAAGTTCTTATATATTCAGTTAATAAGCTTTCTTCATATTAGTTTCATATAAAGTTTAGTGTCAGGACTGATAACAAAGTTATTTGAATGTAAAATGTTATTCAATTAAAATTTGATATCTAAACACTTTATATTCAATAGTTTTAAGAGCTATGTAAAATGGCAATCATCGAATATATGAACCTACATTAACCTCTGTACAATTATGTAACTGATTATCATAATTATTACTGGCCATTACATACAAAATGTCGTTCAAGATTTAGCACAAAAACATTTAATTATATAATGAGTTAAATTAAAAGTTAACTTAGATTTATCGTAAAAATTACTAATGGTGTTGTGAAAAAGAATACAAGTGGGAACAATGGAAGGTATTTGAATACAAAATAACAGAATTTCTTAGTAAAATCTGAGAACCATAAAGTAAATAAGTCATTTGCAAAATGTCTATCAATCGTCTCAGTCTTCATTGTATTTTTCATTTCCACATCAATCATTCTCTGGTCTCGTTCTCTTTTCTTCGATCTTTTAAACCTAATGCTGCCAGACTAGCGTTATATACTACTTATATCGATTTAAGTAGCACACACCACAATGAGAATCTCGGATATATCAATAAAATTCCACGAATAAAGTAATAATTTGAATTACCAATATAATCAACATTAGTCAACAAGTTATTAAAAAGATAAATAAATCACAGTAGAATATATTTAGAATGCTCTAAAATAATAGAGATTTACAACTTGATAAATAAGAATACAATACAGTTTTTAAATGATACCAATACAAAGCTTTAAACGATATACACAAATAAAATGTTTAGGTTAAAAGGATTCTGGTTTTTTTGAATCAGCTTAAAATAAGTCAAGTCAGGTTACAAGATATCATGAAATAAATTATTTAATTATGTCATATAACATGTTGAATGAAACTAAACTATATACAACTACGGTAAGCAGAGATGGATAGTGGCTAGCAGTGGAATCCAAGATGCGCGTTTCGTCCTATTTGGGACTCGTCAGATGGATGTACCTGCATCTCAGAGTTGATGTTCACTCTTGGACTCGAACCCAGTACCCTCGCTTCAAATGCCATCGCGTTATCCACTCGGCCACTGAGTCCTGATAGCCACTTGCTTGTGCGATGGGGTGAAGTTTAAATTCATTCAGTATTGTTTGTTTGAATCTTCCCATCGATTTGTTTTATGTATGTATGTTTTATGTATGGATAAATAGACTTATGCTCTCACTTGTTTATGAGTTTTCATGTATAGTTCATCCAGTTTATTATAGTTGATTTGTCATATATCTTATTTGGCTACTTTGATTTCAGGACGGTTAAGAAATTTCGCAAGTTAATAAATTTAGATGTCAAGACAAAATCATGAATTATATGAATATCAATACTTACAAAAGATCAAATGAAGCTGTTCATCACAAATCTTCCAATCAACAATAATTGTTTTTGAGTTTGTAAATACACACTTCTAGGTTTGAATTAACGTATTATTAATTACGATTACAATTAGCCTTTTACAATTTTAATGTAGTCACAGTATTTAGTCGATTTTAATCAAAGCTAGAGATGAGATAGTCTTTTTTCATGAAGACGTTTACAAAGTGCAGTCATTGGAAAGACGAATATACTGTTAGACAGTTCTCTATATTTTGTTTTATGGCTGCTAAAAATAACTTGTAACAAAGACTATATTCGTAGTTTTCTAGTATTTGATCATAGATGCCTTTGAAGTTCTACTTGTATGTGCTTGAACCTCAAAAACCCTAAGGTTAGATTCAAGGCACTAGGTAAAGATGGGATATCAAATCATAAGTTAGTGAATCTTCATTGACTGAAACAAGTGGGACGTATATCACCTATGCTCAACTACCGCCAGTATTTAAGAGTGATGTTTCCTGATGTAGGAGTAAACTGGAAGAAAGCTAGTGGCAGCCAAATCAAGGTGTGGGATCATTTTATAAATGTAGAGACTTTTGGGCTGAGTCCCCTACTCATGTACGGAATTCCGGGTTAGGTTCAGATGATTATCGCAACCAATGGTTAGAAAAGTATGATGAAATTACTCAAAATCGTTTGTCATGGAGTAGGTGGATGCACTTTTTGAATCCTTTTAACCCCTAAATTATTAACTTGTCTTCTAGAATTTTTTCGCTCCCAAAAATTATTATTTCTTCCGGAATAATACCTTCTATGCTTAATTTTTTCCATTAGAACTAATACTGTAACTACCTTCACTACTGTATAATTCACTTTGGTGATTTTATCTCACCGTTTGTATAGAGTATGCTTACTTGAACCGATGCGCATATATGGCAGATTCTACGCTTCGTATAACTGACTAACTGAAATAGTCACCAACATAATGCATCTAATTATTTTAATATGCATTTCATTTCAATTCGAAATTTCTTTATTCGATTGTTTTTTTTTTTACAGTTTATTCACAACAGATCAAAAATGTATTCATAGTTGTTACTTCTTGACATAAAAAAGGAAGAATTTTCCTCGAATGTTTCCTTGTAAACTTTAATAAGCAAATATTCGTACAAACTTCTTTTTTTCCTACGTGTATCTCATATACCCCTCCCCCCCCCAAAAAAAATGATGAAGTGTATAAAATTCCGGAAATATCATTTCTATTTTATTACGTCATGATGTATTCCTAGTCTTGACTACTGAAAAGGGTTTGAAATAAAATTAAGACATTTTAATTGTTATTTACTGTAAATTATGATTTTGTTTTATGATTTTCAAAAGAAGATTAATACATTAAATTAAAAGAAATATATTATTTATAAAATGAAATTCTCACTTTTGTGATGTATGTTACTTATATTGACAGATATAAGTAGTATATTACAAAAATCAAAAGTGAAGTGCCTGTCAACAGATGATTAAGGAGATTAAACTGAAGAAAAAAACAGAAAGTGAAACAGACCAGAATTGAGAGCTGAAAGAACCATGAAGGATATAAAAAGACAACTGATGGAGGATGTGTAAAATGTAGGTAATATATGGTTTTCGAAATTTAACATGACACTCTGTCATTTCGCATTCATAAATAAATTGATTAGCCTTATCAAGTCTCCATTCACCACTACATGATTACTGACTGTGTGAATCTATCCAACAATTCTATCCTAAAACTAAATAATATTTGATGAAAATTTGAAATTTTTACATTGTATATTTATCTGTTGAAAACAATTACATTTAATAGAAATCGTATTAAGTATTACAATGTAAGTAGTTTCAATCACCCAAGTTTACTTTCACCTGAAGGTAATTTGTGTTCAGGAGATTCCAACTCTTTGGTGAACTTGATTTTTTCATCAAAGTTGTTGACATGGTTAAATAGTCCGTCTAAACTAAACCGTTTTTATTATAACAAAAGTGTCATCAGTGTATCGTAACCAAACTTTTGGTGGATGAAAACAAATTAAGATTGAACTAGTTTTTAATGATTGCATGAATAGGTTACCAACTATTGGGGAAACTGGTGATCCCATAGCTACACCCAAGCTTAGTGATCTATAATGAAAAATATTGAATTCTGATGTTATCCAACAACACATATGAGTAAAACAATGAAAAAGTAAAAGCATTCGGCTTCATTCTTTGCTGAGCTATTAACTTATGTTCTACATATGTTATGCTTAATATTATTCATAATACTGTCGTATTTAATAATACATGATGGAACACATATACCATTATCTGAGACAATAGTTTATTGAGCTTTTCATATTCATCACTAAATCAGTAGTTTATCATTTACTAAGTAATATTCTGAATCTTTGGAATCAAACTTTCTATAAGAAGTTTCCAATCAACTGAGAATTGTGTAAAAAGTTAATAATAAACATATTTTTTGTTATTTTTATTTACTCTGAAGAAGTGGCTTACATTAGGTTACAAAACATCAGAAATAAAATTTTTCTATTCATTAGGACATAACAAAAGTATACATTCATTATTATTTCCACAAAGTGAAAATCACTAATATGATGATTTAACAAGCTTTTAGTAAGAAGAAATCAATTAAATTTAGTCATACAAATCAAATTTTATCAATTCATGAAGAATTCATATTCAAAAACGTACTAGAACCCATATTAATATGTGACAAGAAAGATTAACTCATTGAAGAGATCTCTTCAAGGCAGATCCATTCTTAACGTTGCTCCTCTTTTGTAAAATTATGCTTTTTCTAAAATCATTAATAGTAATTCTTGATCAAGAAAACAATTTATCGAGGGGTCAAGACAAACAAAATCACGAAGAGATTGTATTGTAATTGATAAGATCTTGAGTATTCATGAAAAATGTCATAAGTCTTAAGTAAAGATCAATAATGGTGGAAATGAATTCAGTAGAACAGTTTTGAAATTAAAATTAGATATAATCAGAAAGCATATTGGAAATGGAATCAATGATTTAAGTTCAAGAGATCATTCGAGTGAAATAGAAGATGTCAACTCTAGAAAACGTAATTTTACGACCATTGTAGTAGAAATCGAATATATACTTCCGATATATAATATTCTAACCTTCCTAAATTTACGGCCATGGCTTCATCAATGATTTAGAGAC